AGAGAACAATCATGGGAGAAAGAAGGGCTGCTTATGCACAGGGAGACAGCTTAAGGGGCAGGAGTGTATGGAGGGATGGATACTGGGAAGAGGTAAATATGGGGAGGAAGTGGGAGGGGAGCTGTTACATTGTGGTAAACTGTGGTCAATGACATGAGATAAAGTATATGTGAACTGCTGTATGGAAAGTGAATTTGCTCTGTAAACCTTCACCCAAATCACAATAAAATAAATAAATATATATATAAGCTACAGATAATATTCTTAAGATAAAAATTTGCATTTTCTTATGTATATCCTTGTAGGGTAAAGGATCGAGTTTTACCCTAAGATGGCCTTTGTCCTTGGACATGGGGAAATAACCCTTGGAATAACTGAGGTGTCTTGTTCTGGGACTTCCAGACCACACCAGAGGATTTGTGCTAGTGAAAGGGGGCTTGTTCAGACTAGAACTCACTCACCTGGGAGGCCAGTATCAACCAGCTTCAGGATGCAGAATTTAGCCTACCATGGGATTGGCCAACAAAGGCCAGGAATACTAAGGGTCAGAGAGCTTCCTGGTCAGCAAAGGAGGTGACGTACCCTCCTCAAGACATGGCAGCTCTGTGTGTTGGGAACCTTCCCAGACCCTTGCCTGTGCATCTCTTCTGTATGATGATCCCGATTTGTGTATCTTTTTACTAAAGTAAAACCGGTAGTCACTCATCTTCCCTGAGTTCTATGAGCCATTCCTGTGAATTAAATGAATCCAGGGACAGTGTCCTTCTAACCTGTGAGATTTCTCTAGCCCTAGAGGCTAGAGGCAGCTAGTCAGAAAGAACTGAGAAGCAGGAAAGCAGATATTGGCTCTATACTTCCACATTTCGGGGATTGGATGCATACCGATTCTTTTGTGTGTATGTGTGTGAGATTTGGGTTAAAGTGTACAGAGCAAATTCATTTTCCACACAGCAGTTCATTGTTTCATGGCACTGACAGCAATCCCCATAACGAACAGCTCTCTTCCCACTTCCTCCTTATGGTTAACTTCCTTGTGTTCTTCTTTCCTGTCCTGGTTATGTAGTACCGCTCTGACAAGAATATACCACAAATGGGAAGGCCTTAACAGGAGTTTATTCACTTACAGTTTGGAGGCTTTAAGTCCAAGTTTAAAGTGCCAGGCTCTAGGGGCAGGGTGAAAGCCCCTCGACCTTGGGGTTCAGCTCTGTCTCCTGCTCCCAGCCCACTGGAGCTAGAGGCTTTTCTTCACTCAGCTGCTGGCTGCTGAGGCTGCCAAGCCCAAGGTTGACAAGTAAAAAGGCACAGTCCCGATATTACCAAATTACATGGCAGGCCATTAATTCAAGTCCATCTTAAGTCCCAATGTCAGCAGAGCATGGCAGGCTGCTGAACAACGACATGGCTACATGCAGGGTTCAAGGTGCCATAAGCTAGAGACCATTCCCAAAGCTGCTGCATACGGGAAGCAGACCACATACCCAAAACAGCTACTCGGCTGCTTGTGGTAGATCCCACCATGTAGTTGACTGCCAGTCTCATCATGGAGAATAACTACCACCAGCTGCCCAGCCTCTCAACCAGGCCAGCCAAGTTGACACACAAACATAACCACAATTCTTATGCACTCCTGTCCCCTGAACAATCTCACTGTGCAAATACTGCCCTTCTGATCTCCACAACTGACTGTTCTAAGGAGTGTACCTACCTGGTGTAAATGTTCACTTATGCCTCTTTTGGCTGGAAGCCATAGGAATTCAATTCCAGGCCTAAAGGGTGACAAGAGGCCAGAGTCTTGGTTTCATCAGGCTCTATCAGATCATTAAGTCTGGTCTTTTTTTATGGTTTTGACTTTTGTTCCACATTTTTCTCCCACTCTTATTCAAGATCTGCACTAATCTCTTTTCGAGTGGTAAGACAGTGATAGCTGGGAACCATCTTGTTCTGGTCTTATGGTCATATAGGCTGGACTCATGCTGATTTCTTATCCATAAACTTATCACTGTAATCCTGGAATGAGAATGTGTTTTGGTTTCTTCCATTTTTCTAATGAGGGATTTGAGGGATCAAAGAAAAGCAGAAAATAAGTTAGATTAATAAAATATAAACTAAATGGCTCATACTCTCTCCAATGGCAAATTTATCATACTGAAAAAGCTTTGGGCTTTTCTTAAAAATATCAACCTATCATCTTTACTATTATTCAAATTTTGTGTGTGTGTGTGTGTGTTGGGGGGGGGGATGAAGGAATCTGCATTGCTCAAATCAGGATTCAAACTTGGCAACCTTAGGATTTCCTAGTAGCTATGCATGCCTGTAGGTGCTCCCTACAGAAGGACGGTCTCTAATTTACAGGACACTTGTCCTGCTGGTCCTACGTCCTCATACAACTATCACAAAGAAAAATTAGGAACTCAAAGCAAGCAAGTCTAGCATTCCACTCAAAAATCTTAGAGAATTCCCAATAAAGACATTTTAAAAAAGTAAAAATAAGGCATTTTTATTAAAAGTTAAAAATGTTTTCAAAGCTTACACATGCAAATCGGTAATTCCACTATAATATGGACTTGTAAAGTCACTGACAAGCAGATACAAACCAGTCTGCAGAAACACACATCAGCTACCTAATCCACCTAAGTACTTGCATTCAGGGTAAACCTGCTCCCTCAAAGAGGGAAACTGAACACTTACCAGAAGGCCCCTGTGCTGAGGTTGCCCCAATGACTTGCATGATGCAGAGGAGGGAGTTCTTGCCATATCCGTGACAGGCAGAACTATGCCAGGGGCTCTCTCCCTCCCAGCAGCTCTGCTGCACCAAGACCAGAAAGAGTGCCCTCTGCTCCCAAGAAGGATCAATCCAGGCAATGACATTCTGCTAAGCTGGCTTCCCTAGCCAGTTCTCAACACTGGCTGCACAGTGAAATCTATAGAGAACTCAATAAAAATCCTGGTGCTCATGGCCCTGATCAATTAAATCAGAATCTCTGGGAATGGGGCCTGAGCAGTTTCATAATGTTTAAAGCTCCCCAGGTGATTTCGAAGTTCATTGAGATGAAAGCCACAGCAGCACGTTCTTCCTCAACTCCTACCTCCTCTGAAGTCTTGTGTGTTCTGATTAAACAGGTGGGATGTTCAACACACTTCTCCAATTATGAAGTATGACACATGGATGCTGAGTTCCTACCACTGATGTACAAAGAATTAAAAAGTAGAGCACCCAGATTTCATAAAAAAAAAAAATTTATTTTCATATAAAAGTGCCAAAATATCCACCAATGTCATAATCTATCTCAACCAGTTTACACACTAGTAATCAAAACACAAGCATCTTTATTCACATTGTTTAAAAATCATATTCTGGTCACACATTCCCACAGTAACTTGAGTCTCTAGACAGTGGGAAGTTGGCATTCCTATTTGCGGTGCTAGTCCATATGTCCAAGTTCATATAGGCACGAAACGGGTCAAACCCTGGGTAGTATTCCTTGCACATGACCGCCTGGTTTTCCATGTGAGTTGCATGTTCTGTGGTGGAATTGATGGGGCAGCAATTTTCATACACATCGTTTTGTGGGGCCCAGATGGAACCAAAAAGTCCAGACATTGGAGATAAGCTTCGGGTGCTTGTGAGGTAGGGCTGTAGTGTAAATGGGGAGGGAATAGAAAAGTTATTAAACAAACGAACAAAGACTTACAGGCAAATGTTGAGGTAGAATATATTAACAGTAGATACCACAATGGTATCAACCCAAGTTGTTAATAGTTGCCATGGAGTTGATTCTGAGTCATGGTGACCCAAGTACGTATGACAGGGTAGAACTGCTTCACAGGGCTTTGAATGTAACCTTTATGAAATCAGATCACCAGGCCTCTTCTTCCACAGCACCACCGGCTGGGTCGGAACTGCCAATCTTTAAATTAAAAAGCTGAGCACAAACCATTTGCACCACCCAAGGACTTTCAACCTAAGTTTCTTAGAAATCATTAAACTATTTTCAACAATCTGGCTTGTTTTAACTCCACTTTTCTCATTTTCAACAATCTGGCTTGTTTTAACTCCACTTTTCTCATTTTCAACAATCTGG